CCACCCTCAAAGGAGTGGTCGATACATGTGACCACCCAGTCCGGAGGCCTTAGTCATGCCAGAGTTTTGTTCGAGACTCCACGTACACCTCCTTTTATGTATTTTGTTAGTCACCTGAATAATAATGCTAAACATATCCATATACACCATAGTATCAGCAACATTTCACCGAAAATATTCAAACAATGAACATTTCTCCCAAAAAAGAATGCTAAGAGACTCCACATGTCACAAAATAGTGTCAGTCTATCTTGACCATCGACAAGAGCTGGGACTAACTTTATACCTGAAGGTCGAGAATGTCACTCCCAATTATCCTACCTCTCCAAAAGAGAATGATTTCTGCCTCTGAAGTTGCCACCTGCGATCGGCACCATCCAGACTCGTCCCTCCTTATCACCCTGCTTTGATGGCTTCGTGTTCGCTCGTTATGTCCTCGAAACTCCACAACTCGTCCACCATACCTTGTCGAGACTCTGGTTATTTTGAGTTTCCTCGACAAGAATTAAAAGAGATACCATTATCCACATTATATTCATGTCATTCATTTTGCAATTCTCCACGTAAGAAAAACAAGAGATCATATACAAACATCACCATCTCCTTGATTTAAGACATGCTCGAGCAATGACATGCTTAACAATTATGAATAATCAATTCGAACAAAATTCCACATTTTCACGTGAAAATCCAAATGAGAGGCTCAGAATATATCAAGATATCAAATATAATTTTAACCCATGGAGCTCATCGATGAATGCACCAAACACACGATAAGCACCATCCTCAAATGTCCTCAATTCGAAATCACGACTCGCATTTAGTAAGCACAATCACAAATATCCTCAAATCGAAATCACAACTCGCATTCATGTTCATCAAATAAGTGTTCGCCAATAAATCAAATAATAGCTCCACCAATAAGTCAAACAATATCTCCACGAGCAAATCAAATAATTCCACGATCAAATTAGATATCATCACGAACAAATCAAATAATTTATCCAATTTTACTCCACCAATAGATCAAATAAGCTCTACGGATAAATCAAATAATACTCAACGAATATGTCAAATATTCGCCACAAATAATTTAAATAATTCCACAAACAAGTCGAATAGTACTCCTCAATAAATCTAATAATTCCTCGAACAAATCAAATATCTCAAGAAAATCAAATAATTCTCCTTGAACAAATTAAATAGTGCTCCACAAATAACTCTTATATTACTCCACAAATAAATCGAGTAATGCTCCCCAAATAAATCAAATATCTCCTCGAAATAAATTCAATAATACACTGCAAATAAGCTCCACGTATGAGTCAAATAATAATCCACCAATAAATCAAATAGGCTCCATGAATAAATCACATAAGCTTCACACATATGTCGAATAATGTTCCACAAAAAATCCAATGAGCTCCATGAATAAATCCAATAATTTCCATGAATATATCAAATATTTACTCCCATTTTCACCAATTTAGAAATCATTCGGTTTCCAAATTTAAATTAGTCACATACCTTCACCACGAGAAATACTATTCCAAATTACCTCATCATCCATGTTGAATCGTCTTGAATTCGTCGTGGGCTCGAACCGGGCTGCTGGAATAACCTAGACAGGTTTGGGGCACTGCTGGACCCTCTGGGCTGGTCTGGAGGTGATTTGGACGCACAATGGGCCGTGTAGGGGCTGCTGGGCTGTTATTTGGACGAAGCTGTTGAGATGCGCTGGGCCTCGAGCACTGTCACCTGGGCTACGGACGGTGGGCTACGCACCTAGGCCTCGCCACCAGGCCGTTTCCAAGCTGGGCAGTGAGCTGCTGCGAGCTGAACATGGAGCAACAACCGCGGCTTCGCCGGTGAAATGCCGCCGGATAAAAGTCACCGGCAAATTGATGGCCTTCCTAGAGGAATTTGTGCTAGAAATTTTAATGGTAGGACAAGCACGAGGAGAGCTTCGCAATGGTGTAAGAATTTTTCAGATCAGACGACTTTGGCCGGCGAGCGGCGGCAGAGGCGACGGCGGCATACGGCAAAGGTTAGGCACTAGAGATTCGCCTCGACGCGAGGATTCTAATGGTACCCTCGGATTTTTCATACCCTTCCCGGATCGTCGGGAAAATGCCTTTGAATGTCTGACTTTGACCAAAGTTTCTTAGATCCGAAAAGTTTGACCGGCCAAATCGAAGGCCTTCCCGGATGAATTTTCACATGAAATTTTTAGGGGAGATTCATCTCGAGGAGATCTACCCGATGACACCGACAATTTTCCGATCGGAGTACATTTTCCCGCGGCCGCCGGCGGAGGTGGCGACCGGCAGTGGCGGCAGTGGCGGCGACCGGTGGAGGTTAAGGAGCTTGCTGGAAAATTTCTCGAATTTTTCGGTTGGAACTCCGTTTGGCTTTTCGAACGGTCCCTACAGACGGCGCCAATGAAGTGAATAAGATTTCACCCGGACTCCTTCAACTCGAATGGCCACCGGACCTGCAAGAACCCAACGCCGGGAGGGGTCCCGGCGTCGGGCCTCCGACGCTCAAGTCATTATGACTCCAAATTCTAAGAGTATAATTATGAATGTAGAGAGAATGAGAGAATGAGATACCTTAGCCCCGTTTTATAAAGGGAGTGTACCTTATGACCCAAGTTGGGCTTGTCCAACAACATCATGCCACGTGTCCTAGCCATGTGTAGGCTTATTCTTCAATATATTCCCTTTTTATCCATTAAACCCGGTCTAGTATAATATCCTATATCAAATTGATATTCAAAAACTTCCTTTTTGGATTTGCCAATCCCCAGTGGTAGACCAAGATATCTGGTTGATCTATGAGATGAGATTCCATTCATTGCTCCACAAATGGCAGTCTGAATGTGCTGAGGAGTATTTTTGCTAAAGAATACAGCAAATTTATGAAGATTCACCACTTGACCTGTAAAAATCCTGTACTGCAACAATATGTTCATGAGGATACCAACTTGATCAATACTAGCCTTACAAAAGAAAAGTGAGTCATCAGTAAATAAGAGGTGTGAGAGCAGTGGTCCATTTCTTGACAGTTTCAGCCCTTTCAGCATGCCATTGTCAATAGATTTTAAATTGAGAGTTGTGAGTAAATCTACCACTATGATGAACAAATAGGGGGACAAAGGGTCCCCCTGTCTTATGCCACGAGAAGGAGATACATAACCATTAGTTGAGCCATTTACTTTGAATGAGATTGAGGCAGTAGAGATGTAGACCATAATAAGCTTGACAAAATCAGAATGAAAACCCATTTGGAGCATGATCTTCTTCAGACAAATCCATTCTACACAATCAAAAGCTTTAACCAAATCCAATTTCAAAGCCATAAAGAAATTAGAACCAGAGGAATGTCTGTTTAAAAAATGGAATGGCTCCTGAGCTATGATCACATTATCTGTTAACTGCCTGCCATCAATGAATGCAGTCTAATCACCAATGCAAGAGGTGAGACACCCTTTCAGCCTTTGAGCAAACACTTTAGAGATAATTTTGTAGACTACACTGCAGAGACTGGTTGGCCTATATTGGCTCAATGATTCAGGGTTGTCACATTCTGACATAACTGTATGGTTCCAGTATTTGAGGAGCATACCTGATTGGAAGAAGCTAGTCACAACCCTCATGAGATCAGGTTTTAGCAAATCCCAGAAATGTTGGTAGAATCTGGCAGTCATACCCTCTTCACCAGGTGACTTGTCTGGTTGCAGGCTGAATAAAGCCACTTTAACTTCTTCTTCCTCCACTTGTTTGAGCAATGAGTGGTTCATGTCATCAGTGATGCTAGGTGAGATGAGAGGGAGCAAAGAGTCACCTCCCTAGCTGCCTTCAGAGGAGAAGAGGGATCTGTAGAAAGAGATATGCTTTTCAATGTCTTCCTGAGATAAAAACACTCTGCCCTGAGCTGAGACAAGTCTTGTTATGGCATTAAGCTTCCTTTTATGAAGAGTGTAGGCATGGAAGAATCGAGTGTTGGCATCCCCTTCCCTCAACCACTTGTGTTTAGCCTTCTGCTGCCAATAAAGCTCCTCTTAAGCATGTGTCTTATTCAGTTCCTTTCTAGTTTGGATCCATTCATCCCAAGTATCTTCAACTTTGTCTGCATTTAGCATCTCCAACTTGTGGGTTAGCTCTGCCATATGTTTTGGTGTTGAGACTGGAAAGAGAAGCTCCAGATGAGCCCTGCTATCCTGGTATGTTTGATTTTTTCCTTTAACTGGAAGAAAGGAGTGCCTTCCAAAGGTGTGCTCCAAGCCTTTTCTACTACTTCTTTGAAACCTTCCTCGCTTATCCACCTTTTATCAAAATGGAAAGAGGATTTTCTTCTTTGTCTTTGCAAGCCCATATCAAGTAGAAGTACTGAGTGATCAGATGAGCTTCTGATAACATTTTGAATAACTGCATTAGGGAAGTGCTGAGACCAGCCCAAAGAACCAAAAACCCTATCAAGCTTTTCTTCTACTAGATCAGGAACAGCTCTATTGGTACACCATGTAAATGAATAGCCTTCAAACTTGATTTCTGACATTTCCACGGCTTTGGTAAAGTTTTGGAATCCTTGAAAACTGTGCCCTCTTCTAGTGATGCCTCATGCCTTATCAGAAGGAGCCATCAAATCATTCCAATCACCAAGAGAGTACCAATTGTGACCCCATAACTGCTTATCAACAATCATGTCTTCCCATTGGCTCTCTCTAGTCAATCTGCAAGGGCTGAAGTAAACAAAAACTCCCCATTGTGGGATATCTGGACTGATTCGAAAGTTAACAGCTATATAGAAATCCTTATACTGAATCTGCTACAATCATTAGAGTCCCAACACAAAACCAACCCACAACTTAGCCCAACAGGATCTGCTACAATCATTCTATTATCAAAACCTAACTTATTACAAACAGACTTAACAAATGCATTTTTTTTTTTTTTATTTCAGACTAGAACAGAAAATTTGGATGGTGAGTTGTTAACAACTCTCTGATTTGGGAAATTGTAGAGGGCCCAGCCAGCCCTCTACAATTCGACACCATAGCTAACATTGACCATGGTGGTGCCACTCCAGACTGGTAACCCCCACCCTTACAGACTTAGCTTTGAGTTTCTTAGATTTAACCTGACTAGTAGTAGCACTTCATTTGTTGCTTCTTCTGCAGTGATGTCTTCTCTATCCCTCTTGCCCATCAGAATCTGGTCAATGAAAAGAGGTGGCTCTGAAGCTCTTTGCAATCTGCCCTTGCTGCTGCCTACCATTTTTCATGTTTTCAGAGATGGAACTTTATGGTCCTTTTGGTTTTCTATCAGAGCTAAAGAGTTGTGAGATGGAACTCCTTTCTCAATATCCATCCCTGAAGATTCCATTATCTAAATATTGTTCTCCACAATGTTTTCCTCTGTATTAGGGGCTTGTATAGTTGAAACAAGGGATGTGGCAACTACTGACTTGGACGGAGATGAGGTTTTCCCTGGACTCTGGATTAGATGGCGGCTGCTGATAGGTGGACTAGATAAAAATCTTGAGCAGTATTATTCTCAGCCATTGAGGGAGACTCCCTCGCAGGAGAGGACCTATTATCTGAGAAATTTCCAGGAGACCACCTTTGGCCTCTGCAGCCTTCAACCAGTCACCGTACTGTCCCTCTTTCATCGAGTTGTTTGCCATATCTTCCATTTTCCTAGCACATGAACGGTCTAGATGTCCTATCTTGCCACAATAGTGACAGAGATTCAGTAGCTTTTCACACTTAAACATAACATTGACTACTTGATCACCCAACCAGATATTAAGAAGTCTAGGGATGGGCTCCTCTGTGTCCAAAGTAACCAGTAACCTCAAAAGTTTCCCCCCATGATTGTCAATTGTTGCTACCACAACATTCTTTAGACTCTTGAAAGCTTTCCCAATTTTGAAATCCACTTCATAGCTGACCCAGTTTAGGGGAATGTTATGCACTTGCACCCATAAATTAAGCTCCTGGAAGCTCGGATGCTTACTAGAAATCCCGCTTGTCCATTCCCGGAGAATTAAGTATTGGTTTTCGAAACTCCAATCGCCACTTTCTTTTTGTCTTCAAGATTTTGGAAGATGAATTGGAAGTAATTGGGGCTGAGCTCCTTAACTTCCATTGGTTGATTGAGTTTCCAAATTTGTGACATTGCACGTCTGATTCCAATCCAACTAGCTGGGCGGTCTCCGATGATCTTTCCAAAAAGACTTCTTTGACATTCATCATCACTTAGACGAAAATAAATATGGGCAATATCTACTACCTTCGCTTCCCATTCTGAGAGTGAGAAGGCTGTTAGACGATCAGATAGATCTCCATCTTGACTGATATGAGAATCCTCAGCCATAACTAGGAGCCCTAATCGTTGAAATTGAAACAAAAAAAAAGGCCAAAAAGAGTTGATAAAGGTAAAAACCACTGAATTAACCCAAAACCGAGAAGAAACTGAAGGAATTCACAGAGACAAACGACGATAATGGAAAAAATCGAAGGAAAAAAATCGCTCTCATGGAAGAGAATTTTTCGCTCTCATGGGAGAGAATCGAGTTTTCCAATTACTATTCATCAATTCACATAATTTTAACTACCTATCATTTCCAATAACATCTCTCATACTTTTATATTACACCAACTTTAATCTTTATATTTTAAATATTATTTGAATACAAACTCATAATATCGTACAAATTTCCACTTAATAATTTTTTTTCAACTCACCTTATCCTATTAATCTAATAAAAAAAATTATAAACAATCAGTCCCTAAGAATTTTGACGTACTTAATTTGGACTTTCTAAAAAATGTAAAAGCCTTGAGATAGTTAACTGAGATTTAAAAAAGAATAAAAATAACATGTGGTATTCAATTTATTTACACTTGGATTCTTTTGACTTTTGACAATTTATTGAGATTTTAAATACAAAATACATATACGAAATTTCACCTCTCGAATTAATATTTTTAAGGAATCCTATTAAATAGAAAAAAAAATCTTAAAAAGTTGGAAAATATATATAAAAAAGAAAAACCTTAAACTATTATTCAAAGTGTCAAACGAATACATGGTAAAACTTTCTAAAATCAGAGACATTTTAAGGATTTTTTTTTTTAATTTTGACTGTAATCCTTGAAAATTTTAAGTCGGGAAGTGAGATTTGGTGGAATTCCTTTTGTTGGATAAATAATGTTGAATCGCGGGTTAAAAACGAGTTTCTATACATATATGTATTAAGACTCTGTAAATAAAAATAATAGAAAACCATAAATGTCAACCACGCAAACGGAAGATTTCTATTATTAATGAATAGACTTATTTATAAAAAATAACAACTTAATTGATAGTTCTATATTACTACAGAACACGTATAGCCGAATCACAGAATATATATTTGCGTTGAAAAAACAGACGCCCCGATACTGTGCAACGATTACTACATCTTTTCTCCAACGATAGATGACTCAAAGTGTAAAGACGGCACTATCTAACATACTCACCTCAATCAGAATCTCAATTACCAAGACCCTTAGAAATTTTAAGATGTGTAAGATACAAGAGACTTTTATAAATGACTTTTTCTTCGTTTTGGTGTGTTCTCGTATGTGACCATGAAAGCACCTTTTATATGATAACATAACATTTAATAACACGAGTTTATTAAATGACATTCATAGTATAACTTTAAATTAATACACGTAAAATTTAATTTAACAAACCTTACAATGAATTCATTTACAAAATAAAATCGTGCAAGTGAAATGAATTCAAGAAGTTTAGTTAAAAATTTGTAAAGTGAAACAAAATGAATTTACTCATTTGCATAATATTATATAAGGATTCCCACCAAACTTATCTTTTTACATATAAAAGTACTCATTACAACAATCCCCCACATAGCCTTAGATAATAATTATTAGTGTCATCATGCATTGCTTTCAGTCATGGTACCTTTCGTTTGGACCACAACCTAAGTTATCCAACTTTTGTCACCACTGAAATGAATGGATCTAAGCCTTGAATTCTTGTCGTGGGTGTAATGACGTTCATTAATAACAAATTATAGGTTATGTTATGATCTTTAGGGTTGACACATTAAGGCCATATGTCATGATCCTGGTTCATGAGTATGTTCAAGGAATAACCCTTTTCCTCTAGTCGTGACCAAATAACTATACTCATTTAGTCGGATTTATTTCCTTATTTCAGCTAGAGTGTTAAATAATGACCATAATAGTGAGATTTATTTCTTATTTCTATTTTGCTGATATTAGTTGTTATGCATGATTAATTAATTAAAAATCCTCAAATAAAATGCTAAGTGGGAAGGAAACCTTAAAATTAAGCTATAGCCTCTATTACCAGTTTGTTGGTGATGCAACTTATTTGAAGTGTGGTCTCGTCAACCAGTGACATTACTAAAATAATTGCAGGATAACCAGAACGAACTTCTATTAAATGATTATAGAAAATATTGCTTAGGGTGTGCGGACCTCGCCGTCTAGGGATGTACAACCTTTGCATGGTACCCTTAGGATCAAGATGGCTATAGGAAGTTATGTTAGAGCAAGCGGATCTCACCGTTCAGGGCCGTACAATCTAGCATAATGAGCTTAGGATCAAGGAATGTGTTACACTTAGAACGAGATAAAAATCATCATCCCTATCGTAGTCACTGATTCTTTGTCGTGTGGCCATATGGAGACTGACTATTAATTTCATTCGCCATGAATCTAGTTTTGGCTTATGGAAATTAGTGGGTTCTCGAGAAAGACCCTCTTCTTGCGAATGTTGAGTGCATAGAGTCGCCTGTCGCATCATGCGTTACTCTCAAGGTCTTATGGTGTCAGTGAATTTCTATAAGTTTCCATCAAAATACAATGTTTAATAATCACAAAGGATATATAAATAAAGATAAAGAAAAAAACAGGGAATATATAGTTCATTAGGTATCACAAATCAAGTTGAACCAAGTCGAGATTAATCATTTGGTTGAAAAATAGTTACGCTCTCTACAAAACATGCGTCTTCTCAAAATTGTTCATAAAAAATATTAACAAAAAAAAAAGGAGATGGCGTGCATATAAGAAGAGAAACCCTACTTTTGTAAAACCATAAAAATTCATGTCTTTCCAAACTTTAGTTTCTTACGAAAATTATGAGAATGAACTGAAATCCACAGTTAAACTCAAACAAACATTTTTTTTATCGAAACGATTTGGAAGCTCATATATTCACAACAGAAACGAGACTAGAGAACAACTACTCAACCAAATATACAACCAACGACCGAATAAGCTGAATAGCTGACAAGTAAGGAGGACTACACGTACAGACAGACGGCAGCCTAGAGTCAACCTACAATTTTGTTCAAAATGAGACGCTTGTCCTCCTTATCTATCATTAATAGCTAGTATAAATAGTTAACTCTACATTGTATTTCGAACCCTAAGCTGTGTGTGCACATTTTGTTCAGCAGCCATAGCAGTAAAAATGAATGAAGTTCTTTGTTTGCTAATCTCAAAATTTATGAGTTTTTGTTCAAGTTTTCATTATGGTATCAGAGTAGGTCGATTCCTGCCTCTGATTATCATCTTTTCCTTTTCTTAGTCATAGTTTACCTTCTTGTCACCATGAGCACCTCCACTGGTTCTTTGAGCCCCACAGCAGCACCAAATCCAAACACAGCGGCTATGGGATCTTTGATTCAACCCAACAGTCAGCTCATCTCCACAAAGTTGGATGAAACAAATTACTTGATTTGGAAACAACAAGTTATCATTGCCATTCGAGGATATGGAGTTGAGGGCTATATCAATGGTGAGACAGGACAGCCTGAGAAGCTTGTCACAGATCCACAGAGCACTCAAACCCAGGTAAACCCAGACTCTATTGGGTCAGACATGACCTGCTTCTAGCTTCTTGGCCTATGTCTTCCCTCAGTGAAGGAATCTTGGTGATGATGGTCGGTTTAAACACTTTCCAAGAGATATGGAAAGCCATAGAAAACAACTTTGCAAGCCAATCCTCAGCAAGGATAATGCAATACAAACTGAAACTTCAAACCTTGAAGAAAACTGGCTTATCCATGAGAGATTATCTAAACAAAATCAAGAATCAACTGTGACATCTTGGCCATTGTTGGTGAAAGAGTCTCTGAGCAAAATCAAATTCTTCATGTCCTTACTGGTTTGGGATCTGAGTATGATTCAATGGTGGTGAATGTCACCTCAAGGTTTCCTCCTCTTACCTTGTCTGAAGTTCATGCATTATTGCTAACTTATGAGTCCAGGTTAGAAATGAACCAAGCCACAATTGTAAGCTCAGAGGGATCTCAACCCTATGCCAATGTGGCTACACAAAATTCTCAGAGGGGCTATAACCAGAATTTCAACCATTTCAGAGAAACAAAAATGGCAACCAAACTGGTAGAGGAGGAAGAGGCTCTTATAGAGGAAGAGGCCGTGACAGAAATAGAGGAAACAGACCTCAATGCCAAATATGCGAAGGAATGAACCACACAGTAAACAAGTGTTGGTATAGGTATGACATAACACCAGCCAATCAAACCTCAAACCAAAATCTGCAGACTCAAAGAAGGAATCCCAGTCTTAATATGGTGCAATG